GAGCATCATGAATCGGAATCCACTGGCATGGAACGGAAACTTGACACCAATGTGCTTGGAGAGTGAGGCTGGCAGATCACTCAGCGTCCTCCTAGCTCTGGACAGGGCCTACACTGCCCTCCCATGTGCTCTGCCAACTCTCCTCCTCAAGATCTATACCTCTCCATCACTGTCACTCCCATCACTGTCATCCGACGTACCATGATGGCTGGCGAACAGTAGGAACTCAGTAAATACTGGTTGAGTGGCATACTCTTGGAATAAATGGTTGAATAACAGTTGCTTTTTTGGTCACTCTTCTGCATTTGCTACTTCATGTCTTTCTAAATATCTGCTATCATGATTCTCGGTGAAGTGTCCATGGAGAACCACCTAAAACTCCTCTGTCCTCTTGTTAATGACACTTTTTATAATTACGGCTCTCTCATGCCCTGCCTCTACCCCCGGTGAATCTGCTTTCTCCTAAGCCTACTCCTGGCTGTGTTTAGCTCCTCATACACCCTAAGCCACTGTCTCAAAATACACTCAACCCATCTTTCCTAAGTTCTGCCTCATTCATTTGGCAGTGGAACTAACTTGAAGCCTGAAGCACGATCCACCTCCTTCGCATCTCACGCAGATGCCGAGTGCAGACAGGAGAAACCGTGGCCTTGAGGTCGGTGCTTCTGCTCACGCTCATCCCTGTAGTCTTTGACACTCAGGCACATCGTGGTTCTTGCTCAGCCAGGTACATCCCATCTTTAGGTCACTCCTGCCAAACCCAGCACTCTGCTCTGCCTCACATACAGCAGATACCCTTGCTTTCTCCTTAGACGTAGAATTCCTCCACTTTCTGTCTTCACCTATAAACTGCTCTGCCCCTGATAGCAACCTGGTGCCTCTTTCCCAGATCAGCACTAGTTTTTCATTCTTGGTCTGCAGCCAGTCTCCCGCCAAACTCCTGACCCTGACCTTTGTTCCACTATCACCTTACTCAAAAATTATCTGTGTGGAGGTTTGCTATGCAGTAGGTCCTGTTCTAAATGCTGGGATGTCGTAGGGAAACCAAAACAGACACAACACTGTCTCTCACTGGGGAAGGGAGAGTGGGGACAGATGGGTATGAAGAATAGACGACAGGGGCCAGTGCTGTGGCGTAGTGGACTAAGCCTCCGCCTGCAGCGCCGGCATCCCATATGGCTTTTGGTTCGTGTCTGGCTGTTCCTCTTCTGATGCAGCTCTCTGCTAACAGCCTGGGAATGCAGTGGAAGATGGCCCAAGTGCCTGGACCCCTGCACCCAAGTGGGAAACCCAGAAGAAGCTCCTGGTTCCTGGCTGTTATGGCATTTGGGGAGTGAATCAGCAGATGAAAGAACTCTCTCTGTAGCTCTACCTCTCAAATAAATCAATAAAATATTTAAAAAGATGAAAAACAAATAAGAACATCAATATAATCAAGATAATTTTTCTTTTCATAGATCTCATCCATGGAATAGGAAGGGAAAACTTGCGATGAATCTTTTTTTTTTAAAAAAAAAAAGATTCGTTTTATTCATCTGAAAGGCAAAGTTACAGAGAGAGAGGGAGGGAGAGAGAGAGAGAGAAGAGTTCCATTGTCTGGTTCACTCCTCATATGACCACAATGGCCAGGGCTGGGCCAGGTTGAAGCCAGGAGCCAGGAGCTTCCTCCAGGTCTCCCACATGGGTGCAGAGACCCAAGCGCTCAGGGGTCTTCGCTGTCCTATCAGGCACATTAGCAGGGACTTGAACTGGGGCTCAAACGGAATGCTGGTGTTGCAGGTGGCGGCTTATTCTGCTACGCCACAATGCCAGCCCCCTAGTGATGAATGGTGAGGGAGGGCCTTGGACTGGTTCCAGAAGCGAATCTCCCCGTGAGTTCTCCCTGCCTCTGACTGCCCTGGTCTCGTTCCAGAGACAGCCAACCGAGCTTCTCTGCCCTGAATTGCCCCCAGCTGCAACTTCCGCCTTCTCTACTTCACTGGCCTTCTTCAAACACTGCTTTGTATGTGCCATCTCCATATCTTTTTCTATCTAGTTATCTTTTTAGTTGAAAAAAAAGTTGTTTTTATGTATACATAAAAAAAAGACAGAAAAACCAGAAAGCTGAAGAAAAGGCCACTGTATTTCTTAATTGCCTGTCAACCCACCCTAACCCCGTTTCTGCTCTTTCACTCCACCAGGCCCGCTCTGGAAAAGTTGGCCAATGACTGTCCCCTTTTCAGGGCCAAACCTGAGCAAGCCTTTCCTGCCTGACATTCCCGTGTCTCTTCTCCCTCTTTGCCCTCAGACATCACAGCTCTCTGAGGCTACGCCAGGAACTCCGCCTGGGTCTCCCGAGTACTTGAGTCATCACGCACGTCTCGCAGGCAGATTAGCAGGAAGCTGGATCAGAAGCGCGGAGTAGCTGGGGCATGAATCGGCATTCTAATACGAGATGTGAGTGTCCCAAGTGGCAGCTTTACTGGCTGCCACATAAACCAGCCCTTCTCCTTCAGTGCCTTTTAAATGCTGACATTAAACACCAGATTCTACCTCTGTCCATGTTCTCTCTCTGTATTGTACCCACTTTAGGGAGGGTGAAATATACTTATTACCATCCTAATGGGATGCACTTTGAGAGAGAAATAGGGTTTTAGCTAACATCTATCTGATGATCATTTACAAAATTAAATCTGTAGCCTCAATCCTTTATTTGCTAGATTTTCAGGTTATGATTTTTCACAAGTACCTAAATTCAGCATGGTCAAAACTCAAGCACTTACACTTCTTCCGTTTCTTGCTTAAGTTGTAAATATTACCCACTCAAGCTTCCAAGATAGGAAATGTGAGGATTTCTCATTCTCTCGCCTACCAGACTTAATCACTGTCATGCTGACTTTGGCTCTGAATATTTCTCTGACCCACTGTTCCTCCCCTTGACAACTGTCATAACTTCTTATCTGGTTTTCTTACCCTAGTCTTGTCTCCGTCAAGTTCATTTTCCTCGCAAAGTGATCACACTTCTGCTGTGAATCCTTTAATGGCTCCCCATTGCTCACAGGACTTTTATCATGATCCCTTCTATTTGCTTCTTCAGTTTCATAACCTGCATTCTCTCTCTCCCTCGTATTCTAAGGACACAAGCTAACTCATAGATAGAAACTGACACCTGTATTTGCCTGGAGGAGGCTACCTCATACTTTCAGGCCTTTGTCCACGGTGTTTCTCTGGTGGGACACGGAATGCCCTGGTCTGGTGTGCCCACATGAACTGTTTTTCTCTGCTCTTTCATGCTGGCCCAGCAGGACTCAGTGTCTCACCCTGAGTTTTCATACTATCTGTGCCTGCCTCAACCACAGGGTCCTTAGTGCGAATTATGGCAGAGTTCCTTGGTAGCTGGTAAGCCTCCTGAAGACAGGTACCTGCCCCTAGTACACTCAACACATATTAACACAATTTTTCGGAAATCTCATCCACTACATTTTTCTACAGGTGCCCACATATTTTATAAGTCATCAGTGAAAAGATTTAAAATGTACAAGGGCTTCAGCCACCAAAAATGTGCCATGTTTTATAAAATTAAGAGTATCTCTTAGCATAGGAGACAGGATGATTAAGCCAAATATATAGGGGTGATGCATAAAGTTATGACAAGAGGAAATTTAATTGTTTAACGTAGAAAATCAGAACATATTTCAAAAGCTATTTGATTTTGAAAGCTTTGTGAAAATATAATAAAAAAGCACTTTTTCTAAAAGAGGTTTCACATTCCTCTTGTTTCTTATTATTTACATTTTTAAAAATAACTTATAACCTTAAAAAGGAGATTAGTATTGAATATTCTAAGATTCAGTATCCATCAAACCTACTCAAACATCCTTTTTTACTTTCCAGATGTTTCCTCTGATAATTTCCATGATCTTCCATGATTAGCTCTGGCTCAGAAAGATGGAACTTATACTTTGTCTGTCAAAATCTTAACTATTTGACCTTCAAGGCATGAATAAAAACCTACAATTTTTGGATAAAATGTAGTACCCCTGTCACTTATTTATTCTAAATCATATTGGGGGAATTTAAAAAGTCTAATCTAAAATTGTAAAGAATATTCGTGTTACCAGAGGCATAGCGAGAGCATCTGGCACAACTGGTACTCAGTGAACAAATAAGGAGACTCACAGAGCAGCTTCACAATGACGATTCCGAATGACTCCACACACTATACGTTCTTCTGACAAAGTCCTGCTCCTTGGGACCGTTTGCTTCCCCTTAATTCAATCATATCACTTCGTGTAATCTTTCCCTAATTATAATTTGGCTTTTAAATCTTGTTTTGTGAACTGTGATTATTTCTCTGGGAAGGAAAGTAACTTGAGGTATTTTGAAATTTAAAACATGCTTTGATATTTTCTTCAATCTGAGGATTATCAGACCATTCAAAAGGGATAGGCACTGGCTCACTGGGTATTGCAAACACCAGAAGGTAGATCTAAGGAGATAAAAGCACATCTACCATTAGGTGTTGTATTGAAAAGTACATTTTTCTAAAACATGACCAGGAAGAAGTTAAATACATTTAAATGTTTTTTTTTTTTTTTTTAAAAAACACATTGTTAATTGGCAAGGTCTCGATCCTATAAACACAGATACAATCTCCTGAATACTCCTTACCTGTCAGAAGGTGGAGCTCTAAACATATCTGAGATACTGGCTTTTATAAATGCATTTCACAAGTATGTGTAATGAGGAGATTAAGGCAGGAGTAAAGTCTTTAGAAAAATGATTCTGAAGAATATTCCAATTCTCTCAGGATAATATCACCCGCATCTCCCAATATGTCCGTGGTTAACCAACAAAATGATGCTTAGTATATTCCTTTGAAATTTCAATATAATACCTACCATAAAAATTTAGGTATATGCAAATCAGATATTCTAAAATATCAAGTATACATAAAAGGTAAAACATTGTAAAATATCAGGACTACTATCTGAATGTAGGGCAAGGTCAGTAACACTTACAAGCATCTCGGATGTAGAGTAACATGGCTATGAAGATGTAATCGACTAAACTCAGGCTGAGACCATCTGCAAACAAGGCATCCCAGACCACCAGAAGATCCTGCAGGGGGAACTCTCGCCCAAACAACAGCCGTACCCACCGTCTGGAGAGAAACAAAACATTCAAACGGTACTTTTGAGGGTAATATGCAGTAATCATTTTCTAACTTAACTGTGGAAAAAAATTATAATTTATTAACTGAGTACAGTGAGCAAATATTATATACCAGAAATATAATATAGTAACATTTGTTTTGAGAAAATATTATATATCAAAATATAATACAGTGAAATCTAAATTTTAAGCTTTCAGGTGAATTTTATAATTCTATAACTAGGCCACAGTATTGAATTTACATGTATAAAATACAAGTACTATGGCTATTCTTGAAAACAGGAGAAATATTTCCTATTTAACTGAAATCACAAATCCTCAAAAGGTAATGAGAATATGAATGCATAATGGTTTGACAGTTGCCTCATATGTAAGATTATGAGTTAAAAATTTCCAAAATTTCATGATCTTTTCTGATTGCTATTATTGTTACCTAATCTTTTGTAAATGTTTATATTGCAAATTATAATCAAACTAATCAAACTAAGAAAACTGTATATTTATATTTTTCTTCTATCTAAAATATTAATTTAAAAACAAAATGTAGAAAATAATCAGTACTCCTGTGGCTGTATTTTTTTGGTCAAATGTAGACAGTTATTTTAAGTGGAACATAGAGTAGTACTTGATCTTTTAGTTTTAGAAGAGATCTACCTAGTCAACGAGGCTATCTGTGTAGGGGTGCTTTTCACAGTCACTCCTTCGGCCAAGAAAATGAATATGCCACAGACAGACATGAGCAGCTAATAAGAATACTAAGCAACATCTGTATATAATTGTATAGCATGAATAGAGACACTTTGGACTTTGAAAAATGCTAACCAAACTATTTTTTCACCTAATTCTTATCAGAAAATAAAAATAATTCAGTTTGATATATTTTATCCATTTACTTCTAATTTTATGTTACATGGTTATAAATTTCTTACACAAGCACGTCTATTTTCTGGAACTTATTTTATGTGATTCTGGCATATAGCAAAGAATAATTCAAAATTTTAAGTATCATTAAATGTTCAAAATAGAAGAAATTCTTTAAACATTAGTTAAGAGATATTACTCTTTTGTGAAGTTTGAAGTCAAGTATAACCATCTGTGGGGTTAAAGTGAGGCAAAAAAATTTTTCAAATACATTCCTGAGGGAGTATCATATTTAAGGAGGAATCAAACTGTGACAAGATCATGTATACTCACCCGCATACGGATCACAGTTTATCAGGGACCATGTGATTGATACTTAATGTTCTTTTATTCAGGTTGTCAAATGAATCAACAGAATAGTCAGATATTTTCAAGTATATAAATTACTCAATTTTTCAGGAAAAAAAATGTACATGCATAGGAAACATTTACCTCCTAAAATGTTATAACACCTTTCACAATTTTTATCTGGAGTTTTAATCCATGGCTGAAATGAACTGGGACTTACACAAAACACATTTTTTTGGGGGGGGGGGGGTGGTCTAATATGCCCGTGATGTGGTTGAGGGAAAAAATTACTTTCTCACACTCTTGTACTTCTTTCAAATCATAAATGTTTTTGTTCTTATCATTGTAAGAACAAAAAAAATTGCTACATTTAATAGACTGCTCTTCTTAATTACAAATAATGAATGGATCTGGAAGGGAGTATCAGGAGAACTAGGGACAGATAAAGTGAAAAAGGACACAGATTATAGCACGTGAGGCACGTGTTCAGAGGTGTTTAACTGACACAAGTCTCTGGATTTTTACATGATTAAAATGCTTAGAATGTGGTTACTCATAGTCACTCAACTGACACAACTGAAAAAAGTTCATCAATGAATAGAGCGGATGAAGGGAGTATCACGATGACACACATCACTATCTTTCTCCTTATGTTACAGCTCAGATGTCTGCCATTTTCTTATGGGCAATCACATCTTTGGTTTCATCATAAATAATGCTTCAAGAGCAAAAAAAGAAATAATTTATATATAATACATATTACATATATTGTATGTATTTATATTATTTCTACAACAAAATGCTGTTATTGCTCAACCTTCCATTGCAACATTCCTACTGATTAAAGCTGTGGGAGCTTAGATCCTGAAATGACCAGGCAGATAAATATGCAGTAATTTCCACTGCAGCACTGTCAGGAGGCGTGCAAACACCTAGGAATCTACACTGAATAAAATGTATTTTTTTGTTTTATGTATCAAATTGTTCACATATTTAATAACTGTAAAACTATACAGAATGTAAGTTCTCAGTACTTTCATATATTCTATTTAAAATGTAATCTATCTTACGCTACATTAGGAATGTTTACTCTGTGTCATTCTTGAAGTTTTACTCTGCCAAATACACTGGCAAATAATTCCAGGGCAATGACCAAATTCTGTACACGAGGAGGAAGGGGACACCTGGGACGTTCTTTGTAAAGGTCTTGTTAAACTCACACTAAAGCTGCCTACTATGCTACTGAGAAGCAAAGTCACAGCTAGTTGAAAACACTATAGGTATTGATCTTGCTAATCTTGGTGTAAAAATAATTTAAGATGTGCAAAAAAAAAAAAACCACAAAACTCAGAAACATGTAAGAAAAAATTTATTAGATGTCTTGCATGTTACTTTTATGTAAGACTGTTAATAAGTTGTACATGCAAGGATATGAAAGTAAAATTGTTTTGTTTATTTTATATGTGGCTACAGGAAAATTAAGGCCAAATTCTCAAAATATTTAAGAACCTTACAACTAATACAATGCCTTGAGACCAATAATGGCCTTATTATAATTTAATCACTTTTATCTCAATTGGATTTAGTTCATACATATATTCACAACACAAAAAATTTTCTGTGTTATTTTGAGCTTTCTTCATTGAGTATGAAAGTCAAGGAAAAATTCAACTCTGGATGAAATGAGTTACTAATAGGAATTATTTTAGTAAGCTTTTGCATTCTTAGAAAGGAAAACTTACTCTAAGAAATGAGGTCTTATAAAGAAGTCAGACGTACAATTAACATGCTTTTATTGCAGTCAAAAATATTTAGTGAGAGTTTAAAGTTACACTTAAGGGTAGCATTAAACCTTTCTTTTTCCCCTTAAAGATAGCTTCAGTTTAATTGCATGATACTATTAATCTTGCTTTATGTATGTTACACCTGCAGACTGCAATGCTCATAACCGTACACATTTTATCACTTGTGATAATGCAATAATTCATATTTTACCAGGCCTACTTAGTAATTAAAATCTGCACAAACAAAAAAGACTGAGCCATTAAATTTAATAATAAACCACTCGAAGATGGGATAGCTTCTATGTCTGCACTTATGCCATTATTCTCAATTTTCAATTTTTGTGTGAGTAAGCCGCTACTCCCAGAGAGAGGATCAGAAGTATCGATGGCATCACAGCTTGGGCAATGACCTGGGCACACCTGCGGAAACCCATTTCTACCAACATACCAGTCAGCTCAGGAAAATGACCAATTTGATTGAGGTTTAAGTGAAAACAGCCTTAATCCAACACTGCCGTTCTGGATCATATATGAAGAAAGAAAAGGAAATCCTAGATTTTCATTTCTCTTTTCTTTTCTTTTGGAATAGCTACCTCACAACAGGTAATATGAAAAGCTATATTCGGGTTAACTTAAACATTGCAAAGGCATCTCAAGCAGCCTGCCATCAAAACATAGCCCTGGGTGAGCGCTGTACAGCACAAAAGAACAATGCTGCATTTTTGTTCACTGATATGTGTTTTGCTCCCTGTTTACTTGTACTTTCCAAAACAAACAACTAATTTTTAAATAACCCCTTCCTGGAATTACATAAACAAAGAGTCCAAGTTCTGCATTAGTACTAGAGAAAACCAAAAGCAAGTCGAGAACGTCGATCTCTACGGTTCGTCACCTTTTTGACTGAGTTCTTCTTAGATTGGTTTCTATGTAATCAGTTCCTCTGAAATTAATATTCTGAGTTTTCTTCTATATCAACTCTCTGAAAACAGTCTTAAAATTAGAACCAAATATTAAAGTTATTATAATTAGAGTCACAAAGCATTCTCATCTTTAATTCTATCTTCTCTAGATAGGAAATTCACAAAAAGATGGAAGCCAAAATAAATAATTTTGTTCCAACATAACACTGCTAATTCTCCCAGAGCTCTGCAGAATGCTTTACTGGAAGATGCTTAACCTGTTTAAGAAAGTTTTAATTTAGTCAACTCTCTCAATTAGTTCCTCCTGAATATCTGAGATCTGCCACATGACTTATAGAAAAATTTGAATGCTTCAAGCCCATCAAACTCTGCTTCAAAAACAGAAAGAAAGACTCTTCAAACTAGTTATGCTGTTTAAAGAATTCAAATTTACTTTCAAAGTGTTCCTTATAACCCATGGGTAAAAGGAAGTTAAATCTGGCTTTCTGGGACACATGTGAACCCTAATTTAACCCCCATATCATACACTTGAACTGTTAAAAGCATATTTTTTACTTTGGGGAAAATTCTCCGTTCTTCCAGCGGGCAGCACATAGTCCTTTTAAGGAGATTTCTTATTCCAAAAATAAGTCCTAATAATTATTACCCATTCCTACTATAATTTATTCTTCTTGGCAAGTGCTTGAAGCAGTTTTGTCAGAATAAATGTAATATTCCCTTTGCAAACAAAAGTAGAGCCTTGTGTATCTATGTTTTTTCAGAGATATGAGGCTCATGAAAATATTTTGCATAGAAGATGACCATACTGTTTCTGAGGCTGCATAATCCTTCAACATTCTCTCTCTCCTTCTCTCTCCCTCCTCTCTCTCTTTTCCTCTCTCTCTCCCTCTCCTTTCCCCTCTCCCTCTTCCTCTCAGACATAGGGCAGCTATTTGAACTACAAGTATGGTGTTCAAGGTCTGAGTAATTTTAACATGTATGATTTACCATTAAATTCACAAAGTCAATGGAAGATGGTGAATTCACATTAGGAATTTAGGACCAGCAGGCACTCTTGCTAAGAATCCTCTTGTCCC